TCGATAGCACTTTTAGACGAGTTAGATGAAGTTTTTAGTGGATTGTGGATTGTGGATTGGGATCTCACGAAAGAAATACTCGTGTGTATTATATCCGTGCAGTTTCCAGTAGCGAATAAAAATTGAAGAATTTTTTTTTTTTGTTTGTTTTTTAAAGAAATATACATTTTGTTTTCTCTCTGATAAAACATAATCACACCGGAAAAATGCAATTATTGTTGCATTTCTTGGACGTGTGTGCAGGGAAAACTTTTACATCATCGACATTTTACGCTTTACTAAACAAAAACAATAAAAACATTGCGAAATAAATTTAACACAATACAAAATTTAACAAAAAAAAAAAAAAAAAAAAAAAAAACAACCATTTTCGTATTTAGTACTTGTCTGGCAGCGAAACGCTAATGACAAATGTACATACATATGTGTGCAAAATGGTTAAACTATTTTTTTTTTTTTTTTTTTTTTGCCTTCTATGAATTACTTTTGTGTCTACAACATTCGTAATATAAATTGTAAATATAAATATGTGTGTTCAACGAGCGAAAAGAAATTCGCTTTCGCGGATACATGGGTCCGTTCGTTCTACCATTGTCATCACCATAGCTGGCGGTTGAAAAGCATTTCCAAATGATATATATATATGTGCAGGGCAGATATGTGCAGATATATATATATATATGAAGAGAAATTCGCTTTTTGGATACATGGATCCGTTCTACCATTTTTTTTTTTTCTCTTCTAAATCATTCCAAATCTATGTTGTCATAAACGAGGTGTGTTTAAAATAAAGTTACGCCTCTTTTTTCCTAGAAAAATTATTTATGTTTTCATCAATATCAATTTTGTTCCATTTAGAGTTATCCTTCTTAGATATAATAAACTTGTGCAGGCGCTTTTTTCAATCCTCCAAAGCATTTCTGTGATATACGCTTTTTCGTATGGCCTTGAGCGGTACCTTTTCATTTTTGGCAGCAGGCAAAGTGGGGTAAATACCCGGGCTGAACAGTGATTATGATGTTGGTTTTGGTGAAAAAATTACATGCAAGTTGGCATAATAACTGTGCTACACGTTTCATGGCCAAAAAAAACCGGAAAAAGACTTGCATGGACATCAGCCAATCGATATGCCGATCTCCCCAACAACTTCTTTATACTGGTAAACATCATCTTGATTTTTAAGAGATTTTTGCCGCGATTTTCTGCTCACCTTTTGCACAATATTTGCCTGATAGATCGGTTATTTCCGGGCTGTAAGCGCAGATACGAGTCCCATCTTCCGCGATAATGCTTATCATGACCGATTCGGACTAGTAGTCGGATTAGTAGTTGTAGAAATCGGAAGAAATACTTTTGTATTGTAAGAAATCAAACGCTGTGGGAAAACACTAACACACACACATCTATTACAACGCTACGAATTTAAATTAGAAAAAAAAAAAAACAAATTTCTGATATTCGATATACCCGCACAATTTAACGTGAACATTGGTGTGATTTTTTAGTCACAATATTACATGTGTATTATTTCTAAACAGCGTAAGATACGTTCGCCGCTTTGCCTGCTGTTGTTTGATTAGTCAAAGCGCTGAAAACTGTAGCTTGCAACCCATAACGCAGATATCGAAATCAAATTTTTACTGATATACAAATTAATTCCTGCTTTTTTTTTTTTTTTTTTTTTCGCTTAGGGGTGGCCGGATACATGCAAATTTTTAACACCTTCAAGGCAAAGATTTCTCGTCCGAGATCTCACAAACCACTTAATAAACGTAGTGTGTAACTCAAATGTCAGAACAATTGAACTCCGCAAGTACGTATTATGATCGATTTTATGATCCATTTTTAGCGAAACGAATTTATCTATATGCCTAATAGTAAAAATATTTATTTATGTTCAAAACAAAAAAAGGCGTAACCGTTTCTAATGTTTTTACGCATTCACTTAAACAGTGGGAGTAGTATGCATGAGATCCAGATTCGCGTTCGAAGTCGTGGAGAAAAATCAGGAACTTGATTGTCAACAGCTTTAAAAATGCTTAGGCTTGATCACAATGAATCGAAACTAGGTAAATTGATTGCCAAATTAGCTAACAATATATTGATCGCATCGTCTTATATTCTCGATGGTTATCATTTTTCTAACTTACGTCGGAAAGTTAGAAAATCGCAAGCGTGTGGCGGGTATAACGAGGCGAGAGAATCTGAATTTGAAATGGATTTTAATGGAAATTACAGTAGAGACATACTTTCGAACATTTTGAAGGTGTTTTTTTCCGTTTTACAGTCTTTGTGCCGTTTTGATCGATCAAAATGTACGAGGCGGCCCCGTGGACCCTTGCAAATTAAGTTATTAGAATCGAAAAATCAATTATTATTATTGTCATTTCAAGCGATGTAATAATGCATGCAAACAACAAATGTGTTGAGAGGTGTACCGATAACGGTACTCGCGAGAACGAAAATTCGTACATTTTTATTCATTGATGTGCTGGAGAAGATTTTAGATGGCTTGAAAAGGACATCTTCTTATAAGCATCTCGACACAGAATGTGTTAATTGTCCAAGGTCAACATCTTATAACTACAGAGTATTTATTGATCAATCAATCAATTGTGTTGTGATATGTATTTGGTTTAATTTAAATTTAACCCATTGAGGTAAATAAATGCAATTTTACGCAAAACTTCTATTCTATATGATTATCAAAAGATATCAAACGATATTCAAAGATATATTATATAGTTGCTATGGGGAGAGTTTTGTATTAAAATGGCTATATATGCTCGAGCATATATCCATCAAATCGCGTTTAGATAATAAATGAATGTCACAGTAATAACTTGAAGACCTCGATATATACCTATTTTCAGAGAATAACTTGAAAATAATTTTTTTTATTTTATTTATTCATTTTTTTTTTCTTGCTATAATTCCAAGTGATTGACCAAAGCAATATTAAATGGAATCAAAGCGAAAGTATTATCATAAATGTAAAAAGCACTTATCAGCGTAAGACTTAATAACATGCATGTTACAACAATGATTGAAAGAAAGTTGAAGTTTAAAAGGCAAAGAATGATAAAAGAAAGCGAGAGGGAGAGAGGGAGAGAGGTATAAAACGAGAAGTGAGGTTAATTAATTGATAGCAATCATGCGTTAGATGCGTACCTACTTATATGCACTACTATTTGAAAGTCCAAAAATATTCTCCTACCCAAAAAAAAATATTAATAAACCAATAAGAAGAAAGGAAAACCGCATGCGTCACATAAAAGTAACGCTTACATAATTTAATTATAATTTATTACAACAATAGCGACAATATCGAACTGACCTAATTAAGAATTGGAAAGTAATTCCCCTAAATAAAAACTCAATATAAAGATTAAGTAAAGCAAAGCCATAAAAACGATGACGCCAGGGCGGCAGCAAGAAACAAATGTATTACAAAAATATGAACTCCAGCCAACGTAAGCATACACGAGGAAATAAGCTAATAAAGCAAAAACCCAATTAACGCTTATGATATTAAAATTTAGAATAAGAAGCCGAAATGGAAATGGAAATTAAAAAAAAAAAAAAGAAAGAAAAGCCCCGTCTAGGAACGACACATGTCTCGTGAGAGAAATCTTGGAAAATCTGCAAGGACAGCAAACCATTTAACATCTTACGAATAAATTAATTTCTCACTGAAAATACGAGAATTATTTATCGCATGAAACCTTTGAAAGGGGCTTTGATAATACAGATGGCTAATAATGATATGAAAATTCCAATCAAACTTTAGATATCGATTGGTATTATTGGAAATATCATTCTGACTTCTGAATACAAGTTATAGTCTTCTCCACGATTCATTCTTATACAATAAATAATATTATGGCCAAAACAGGCAATATTCGACACACATGGGACGTGGACGTGGACATAATTATTAGTCTGTCTAGTAAGAAAGTTTCGTCTGTCCGTTTCTCTTCATAAGGATTCCTGCACTTGCATTCCTTAAGCGTGTTTGGTAGATAAAAAGCGAAAACCGAACTGACTAATCCGTTACAATCTCCGACCATCTGACCTTGTTGCCTCTAGTAATATAATACATTATTCCATTAAACAATAGTAGCGCCGAACACGGAGTTCGGTACACAAAGGTATCTGAATTTGATTAGGTGATTAAAAGTATTACTATCTACTGTTACACAAAAGTGGGCAAAGGGAACCCATAGCCGAAATGAGTACAGCTCGTGTACAGTCTCATAACAAGGCGATGGCCACAATGACAAAATCAAGTTCGAATGGCTGACCTTCACCCATCATATGAATCCAGCCAGCGGCTATTATCTCTTCGCTAATATCAAACCGATGCTTCCCCCTCCCCCACGGGCAAATAATTTTAACAGACTGATAAGGCGATTGAGCAGAATTGAAACGTGATGAAAACGACGAGAATTTTGAAAAATTTTTCTGTAAAACGAACTTTCAAATTGTTAGAGAAGCCTTCTACCGATTTTATCGAATTTTGTTAACCATTTTTTTTTTTTCTTATTCCCTCTCTAGAATTATTGACCGGTGCATAAACTAATTAACAATTGCAAAAAAAATTAAAAACAGAAAAGAAATAATAATAATACAAAACAATGATGATGAGTCATACAATTTTATGATAATCTTTAAGCACATTAAGTTAAGAAGAATTTAAGTTAAACTTTAATTTATTAAATGTAAGCGCAACTTGAAAGGCCACGAAAACAAGAAATGGAAGGCAGATATGTATAAAAACGAGATAAGACATAATAACCATAGGAGAGCAACAAGTTGATATATTAGCAAATTTTTCTTTTTAATATCTGGAATAAACTTTAAAATAAAAATGAAAGAAAGAAAAAAAAAAAAAGAATGAAGCAAAAAAAAAACTGTCTTGAGGCTTACATATTCAAATAAATAAATTTATGAATTAATAATTAATAATTCATTGAGAAGTAAATATCAGCAGAACGTACCTGTAAATGCTCTTGAAAGCGTATGGGTAATATTTGAGTCATTTTGTGCACCTATAATCAAAATGCAACACTGTACGATGGTTGGTTAAATTATGATTATTATTATTGTCGTTGTTATTGCAACGGTTGAATGACAACACTACACACTACACTTTGATTAATCTCTCCTGGTTCTTCCTTTGCTGCCCTTTTGTTATAAGGTTTTCAAACTTTTTTTTTTTTCCTTTTATTCAATTTTTTTTCCAATTCCTCGCGACTCTTTTTCAAGCAATTAATAGATTTTTTAATATTTATGCGCAACAAAATTTGACGTATAAATTTATTTATTCTTTTTTATTTCCTCATGGACACTCACAAAAACAATAAGTTAAAGGAAAAATCTAAAAAACAAAATATATATATACATATATATATATATATATATATATATATATATAAAGTGAAGACGTGATTTATTTCCCCTTAAAAAGAAAGTCACACATATAAGAGGAAGTAAAAGTTATTTAAATAAAAACGCCTCTTCTGATATATGCCAGTTTATTTTTCTTTTTCCGCACTTATTATTATTATTATTAACTTTTCACAAGGATTGAATAAAATCAAATCAGTTTTCCTTATGGCCTTAAAAATATTTTTAAAGTATTTTTCAGCCGTCAAAATATATAAAAATCACAGTTTTGTTAAATAATGTGACGCACATCATCTAAAAACTCCCAAAAATATGACTGTCATTTTTTTTTTCCTTTACTTGTTTTTTCAACATCGGCAACCGTCGTTAATATTGAAGCGGAGAGAAAAGCTGAAGAAGAATAGTGGTAATGGTGAATTTCTTCGCTATGAAATTAATGGTGAAATACACTAAGATAGTTAAGATACAAATAAAAAGAAAAAAAAAACGAATCAAATAAGAATAAAAACCGGCGAGTGGTCCTTCGCTAATGAAATGTTTCATGTGAATCTTAAATAACTATATTTATTTTCTCTTATTTTTTCTTCCTTAATTCTCGCTTGTCAAAAATGCTCTGCCACATAAACAAATCAAAAACTCGTATGGTGTATTATCGCATTAACAAAAATTATCTCACAATTTGAACGCCCCTTATTTTCTCAACCCGCATACTGAAAAAAAAGAACATAATATAAAGCAATTTGTAAGCAAATGCAATTATTCGGCTTTGAGGCTTGAAAGAAAAAACGGGTACACTATATATATAGTACTTAGAATTGCAACTGGAATTTTTTTTTCCGATTTCTTCTATTGCAAAGTTTTCATAATTTTTTTATTTTTTACAGTTGTTTTAATTAAATTGATCGATTTTATTCTCCTTATTATTAGATGAATTTGTTTTACCCTTTTATTGTTTTGTTTTAATTTTAAAATTTTATTTCAACTGATATTTATCTTCTTTCCAATTTATTTATTTGATTTAAAACGAGGAAAACATATTGATTTCTACGTGAACAAATGACACAGGCAAAAGTGTTAAGAAAAATGATGATTTTACATAACAGTATTGCCATTAGTATAAATTTGTAAATAATTTAAAGAATTATGATTACCATATTTAGGGTTAAAATTATGAGTCCGTTTTATTTAATATTCTTATTATACAAAATGTTATTAGGTGTGGCAACGAAGTTTTTGCGAAAACGAATTATGCAAAAACAATAACAAAAGTCAAAGGAATATTGTATGGCGCGACGAAAGACCGAAACAGATTAGGAACAAACACATAATGTGCATCTTTCTTCTTTTTTTCTTTGGTTATTCTGTTTTTGAGTTCTTTTTGCAAAAAATAAAAAAAAAATAAAAGAAAAACAAAACTAACAAGGAAAACAAAAGTACAAACACGAGAATCAAGTTATACCAAGCAAGCCAAAGAGAGTTCTAAAGAATTAAACATTTTTATTTTAAAGTGCGAAACGAACGTTCATGTAGTAGTATACGCGAAAAAGGAGCGATCGATCGACCGCGTGCAAGCGTTTTTGTTGTATGTGTGAATATTTATAATTTAAAAGAAGTTTGGGAAAAATCAATACATATACATATATATGTATACATATATATATATATATATATGTATAATAAATTAAAATTTATTAAACTATATATTTAGTAAAGAAAAAAAAACAAAAGCCGAATTGCACTAATAATAATTAAAACAAGTTTTCGTGAAATTATTAAACGTTATATTTGATAAAAGAGAAGAAAAAAAATATTACACAAAAACATAATTCTTTTCAATATATATTTGAATATATTTAATAAAAAGGTAACTTAAAGGTATTCCTTAATACATTATACAAACGCCTTTTTATAATTTTACTTCGATTACTCATTAGTCAATCAATTATCAATAACTTCCTTGGTAGCCATTTTTAGTCTAAAAGCTCTTAAATATTTAAATAAAAAGGCAACAGCAACTGAATCTTTAAAAAAAAGGAAAAAAAAACAGAATATAGACCCCTGCTCGGAGGAGTAACTCTTGTTAACATTGTGTATGAACTTCTTGTTTTAGGCTCGTGTTTGTTGTTGTTCTTCTATTCATCCTCCTTTTTTTTTTTTAATTGCATTTATTTTCTTTTCACAGCATTTTTCTTCTTTTTTTTTTTTTGTTTGTATTTGCGGTTAAATTTTGTGTTTTTCGTTAGGTTTTTATTTTTCGTTTCTTTTTGCTGGTATTGTATCTCATTTTCACATAAAATACATTAAAACTTTTTTACTCAACCTTCTTAATTAGGCACTTTAGTAATTTTTCCTCTCTTTTGGTTTATAATTGTTTACCATATTCTCTATCTTTTAATGTTCTTGCTCGTTATGCAGCTATGCCTAAAGAGAGAAGTGTGTTCATGTGAGGTTTCTGCACGGTATTTAATTTACTCCCTTTTCTGTTCTTCTCTCTCTCACTCATTCTATCTCTATCTATTTATCTCTCTTTCGCTCTCTCTAGTTCTCTTTCTCTCTCAGCTTTACTTTTATAAGAACAATAATTATGCTTATATTTTGTTTTTTGCCTTGTTTTAAAAATCACTGAATTTAACGATTTTCAATTAAACAAAGGAAAAAGAACTACACAACAAATAAAGGACGCGCGCAGTCTTTTAGCGAATCAACGGCAATTTGTGTAATTGTATGCATTCGCATAAGAATTTTGCATATTTTGTGTTAAAAGTTTTCTCCGTGAAATAACCGTTGAACCGTGTGTGCACTTGTATTCAAGTTAATAGAATAATTATTTAAAAAATATTAAAAGGCCTTTCTTTACTTTTTTTTAAATTTTCAAGCTTATTGGGAAAAAATCAATTATATAAAATTATTTAAAAAAAAAATTGATAAACAAATAAAAAAAAAGGAATTGGTCCAGGATTGCTGATTGTAAGTCAAGATTCTAATTTTGTCTAAACAAAAAGTAAAAAAGAAAAATAAAAAGGAAAAACAGGTAACAGGTAACAGTCGGCATTGCTTACAGTAAATTAAAACGATATGTAAAATAAACTCTTATAACAGTAACTGTAGTAAATATTATTTATGACAATCTGTAGAGAAAATCCCTGCTATATATATTTTTTGTTCCGAGAAAGAAAGAGACAAAACAAAGCGCTGGGTAATATATAGGCAAATATCTTTGCAACGCTTCTCTAAGGAACGTTAAATATAAACTTAGGGTTTTTGCTCGAGTGGCTATAATTTGCAGGATGTAACAATAATATTTCGATCTTGCACATAGTCAAGTTATGGCCCAAGATAAAGAGAACATTTTTGTACTTAAAAAGTCACCCAATTCTGAAAACAAAGAAACAAAATCGGAGGCGATATTGAAGTGTCTTTGCAATTGATTGCTTAGGCTCCGGCGTAGTTGGCTATATCTTACAAAATGTAACAATGTAATGGTAAGTGTGAACAATGAACAGTAAATTGTGGTCAAAATCGCATTTTGATAAAGCAATCAAATCAAAATCTATTTATCGCTTAATTGCTTCTTAAGTGAATCGAATTATGGATAAACTTTTGTCCTGCGATAGGTTTTAAAACTTTTTTAAAGCCAAAGAAATTGACCTGTTTAAACAAAAATCATCCAAGTTGTGTTATAGGTTTGTCGCAGTTGCGAATTTAGGAAAAACATTTTTTATACAGGCATCAAAATTAGATAGTCTACGGCAAACTGTGTGGGACCTATACGCAAAGAGCATAAAACATTTATTATTGAAAGTTATGCGTGATCTTTTTAGAATACAAGGAGAAAAAATTGATTAAATAAAACTGTGATTCGATTGAAGTGTGTGCAGACTGTCCGTCTAGAATATGGAGCTCCTTGGGAAATAAGATTTCGTGGTTTACTCTTGTGATAAGAAAGTTTTTTCTTCCTATCATTCTCTGAAGAATACCAAAAATGCCAATGTCTGCTTTATAGTCGAAAAAGAACTGCCAGCGAAATCTGCCAGAAGTTTAGTGCACATTATGCTCAAACCTAGTTCATAACAAAATTTATATACATACATATATTTAAAGCGTTTAAACCATTTCTCTTTGTCATGTAATTTCAATTAAAAAAAAAAAAAAATAGTGTTTTTAGGGCGATGTTTCGAGGGTTTATGAAATAAATGTTTGAAAAGTCTAATCAACTGTATGCAAATCCTTGATATTGGCAACTCTTTAATTAATGTGCATGAAATAATCTCCTTTATTATATTTGCATATTTATTTAATGCCTCTCTCTTTCTTTTTCTCTCTGTCATTTCGGTAGTCTCTCATTGTTAGCGTTCTTCATGTCAATGTTTCAATTCCATTTTCATTGTTTTTGTTGCCGGCGTTACTTGTTATGCTTTTATTGTTGTTTTTTCTTTTTGTTTGAGCGATTGTGCAAAAATTCTTTTTATTTAATATTTTTAATTCTTACTCTCTGTCTGTCAGATACTCTCTGCTTTGAAAAACTTACTTAAATTCTCTTTAAAGCATCTTGTGAACACACACTCCATTCTTTTTCGCATCTTGTCGCTAAAATGGCTTAATCAACACAGGCACACAAACATATATGTATATTTATGTGCATGCATATATATATATAAATATATATATATACGTACGTATATATATGTACATATGCACTATTCTTAATGTTTTTATTCCTGATGTTATTTTTAAGGGATTTCTTTTTTTCATGTTTTATTAATTTTTTCTTTTTTTCATATATTTTGCTTGTATACGTACCTCCTTTGTAGTATATATATGGTTTTTATCTGAGCACTTTGGCTTATGTGCCTGTGTTAATGTATTTTTTCAATACAATTTTTCTCCTTTTTGTATAATTGTATTGTAAATAAAATACAACGACGGCAGCAAGACGGCAAGAACATTTTATAACAAGACTCAATATTGCTAAAGTACAGTATTCAAAATTAATATAAAGCTATAGTATAATTTTTTTTTTTTTTTTTTCATATTCTGTATTTTTTTTACTGTTGTTGTTACTGTTGCTGTTGCTGATTTTTCTGTTTCTTTTCTATATGGTTGGTTGTTTGTTTGTTCATTCATGATGATGATGATGATGGCCGTTGTTGGTTAATTTGCTTTTTTTAAATATTTTGTTACTTCAGTATTTGTCTGTGTGTCTTCCTTCTTGGCGTCATTTGTTGTTGAAGAGCTGAAAAATTCTATTTTTAACGATTTCTCGATCATTGTTGTTGTTGTTGCGGTTGGCAAATTTAATGAAATTATTTCGTTTGGGTTACACCACCAACTTTAACAATCATTGTTGACATTGTTGTTGTTATTTATTTATTTATTAATTTTTTTTTTCTTTCAATTGCTTTTAATAACAAAAAAAGGTAATTAAATAGATTTTTTTCATATTATATATATTATAAGTAATATTTAAAAAGGAAAAAACAATTTAAGGAATTTTTTTTATTTACAATCTGATTCACGAATATTATGGATGATAAGGACTTGTCAGGAAATGGCTTGATTATAATCAGATTATCATTCAATATGTTTCGTCCCAGGCTTAAGAAAAAGAAATAAACTTTGTACAAAAATAATAGTAATAATAATAATAATAATATTAATAATACTAATAATAATAAATATTTTAGAGAAAACTTTTTTTTTTTCTTTTGTGTAGCATTCCACAGTTTAGACGAACTCCATTTAAAAAAACTATTCAAATATTGAATTTTCTTTCTCTTCTTCTTCTTCATTTTGTTTCTTGCTCTGTAGGAAGCACAATTGGAAGGAACATCGTTAAACGCATACACTTCCCAATAAACACTCTAGAGGTGAAAGTCCTGTGGAAATAATCGGGAATTGTTTCCATTGTGTATATCTTCCGTTCGTTCACTTCCCACTTTAAATAGTATTAAAAATGACAGCTTCGCAGCGTCAAGAATTTTGTGTACGTTGGAATAGTCATTTGGGTAGTATAGGTGCCGCTTTTCCTCAATTACTGGCTGGTCAACGTTTCGTTGATGTTACATTAGCTTGCGAAGGACATCAAGTACACTGTCATCGATTGGTGTTGGCCGCCTGTTCATCATATTTTGAGAGCATCTTAGCCGAGAATCCCTGCAAGCATCCTGTTATTATACTACCATCAGAAATAAAATTATGGGAAATTCAGGCACTGGTCGATTTCATGTACAAAGGTGAAGTCAATGTAACACAAGCTGGTCTACCGCAGTTGCTAAGATGTGCCGAACAATTAAGGATACGGGGCTTATATGGTTCGGATGCTGCCTTAAATCTCAATCAGTTGAAGGCTTTGTCACAAAAGGTTTCTACAGCGGGAGTGAATAATGTCATGCAAACACAATCATTAAACACTGCGGATAGTGTTGATGAAGATACAGCAACCAGTTCAACGATAACATCACAAATTAATCAGAATCTAACATCAGTCTCAAATGCCGCCACTGCCGCCGTTTTAGCGGAACAGTATATAAAAAAGGAACCCATGTCTACGCCTAGTACAACACCGCCCAACGCAACTGTTATAACAACGGCAACTACAAATAAAATATTGCAACAACAACAACAACAACTTAATAGTGCTGCTGCTCTTGCGGCCATGATGGCCAATGCAAATGCGTCCGCCTCGAATCTGCCCTCAGCGGACGACGACGATTCCGGTGATGATTCCAATTCAAACAATTACGAGCAATACGAAATGGTGGCGGCGGCAGCAGCGGCCCTCAATCAAACGAACAACGCGCAGAAATTACAACAAAAACAACAACAACATCAGCAACAGCAGCAGCAACAACAACATCAGCAGCAGCAGCAGCAACAACAACTCCAACAACATCATTTAGATTCCACTGTAGAAGAAGATCATAATTATACTGCTCACGATGAAGATGATAGCTACGGTACGAGTACGGGAGTAATGGTAATGGATCAAGATAGTGTAGCCGCTATGCAAAATTCTTCGATCGAGGGTGGCGGATCAATGAAACGTGTTAGGCGTTCTGAAGCATCTTTGGCTCAGGCAGCAAAATGCGTTTCAAAGGGACAAACTTTTCAAACGGTAAGCAATATATTCAATATACCCGTCTCCACGATACGTTTCTATATGGCTCGGAAGGGTATACTGCCGAAACGTAAACGCGGCCGTGGCGCTTCCTCAAATATGGGTGTAAATATATCGGGAGCGGTAACCGCCTCGAATGTAGCGGCTGTAATGTCTCAGGCTTTGGCTCAAATTAAAGGCGAAAGTGATAATAGTAATAATGCGCATTTACCCGATAATCCGTATAATAACAGTATGAGCTATAAACTGGAACCGGGTACAGCCCATATGATTTAAAATTATTAACAAAAAGACTAAGGTAAGGCAGTTAAGTGATGATGGCGGCAGCTTTCCCCCACCCCTAAATCCCAATCCCAACCCCCTCCGTTCCTTCGTCTCTCTCGTCCCATTCCCGCCCATCTCTCTTTATTAGATAAGCGAACACAAAGAGTTGTGAATTGTTAACGACATAACAATTTTACAGATATTTTTGTATAAACACATGCAGGCAGAAGCAGGTTACCTTTCAGAAAATATCTAAGTGAAAAGTGAGGTTAGATAAGTAAGTATTCATATAAAAGAAAAGATAAAATAAATAAAAATAACAATAACAATAAGAAAGAAATTAAATAAATAAAAAAATTTTCAATTAACGGATCATAAAAAACATTATTGTATATGAAAAAAATTTCACATATGTTCCCCATATAATATTAATTGATTGTGGTAAACCTTCTTCTGGCCATAAATTGCAAAAGCACTCTGTATAAATTTAAAAAAAAAAAAAGAAAAAAAAAGAAAAAAGAAGCAAATAATTGAATGAATTTAAGTACGTACTTTCTTGTAATTTTAATGCCATTAAAATAGTCATTTCTCTAGATTTGCTTTCAGTTTTAAACTAAACATCACCTTATCGCAAATGCTTATACAATACTCATCAACTAATTAATTGATAAATTTTTAATTATTTATAATAAGCAAACTCAGTCAGTATATACATGTGTATGTGCATGCAAGTTTCAGTTAGATTTTAAGTCAGATTTTTCTAAAAATTTCTATATAAGAATTTTGTTCCTTTGACTACAGAAACGATTCGCGTAAGGGCTTCTGCCCAGTTGAGCTATAACTGATAAAGAAACTGGATTGAATTATTATTGTTATATTGTCATCATATTTTATCAAAATGTTTACAACGCCCAGAAGGGAGCAAAAGACACCCTACAAAGTGTATATATATTCTTGATCTTAAGCATGAAATTCTAAATCAATTTAAGCATGTCCCCGTCTATCCGTCTGATCGTTTTCGCAGAAACATTGAAAATGTTTGCTCGCAGGTTAGTATTGAAAATGGGCCAAATCGGTCAAAGGGCACGCCCATAATACCACATAAACTGAGAACATCTTTGTTCTTCGAATGCAATAAAAAATTGTTTTTTCACTCATTACTCATAAATTATAGAAGATAAACGCACAAAAATTTGCAAGCATATTTTATGGGCCCGCGCCGCCTACCCACTATCGTCATTATATCAAAATTTAATTTTTTTTCAATACCTTTATAACGCGCAGAAACAAGCTTCGAAAGCCCCATAAGGTATACAAATTCCTGGCCATTTACAAACCTTGAATGCACCTAAACCTGTCCGCCTATTCGTCTGTCCATCGAAAATGAAAATGTCAAAGGACTACACGCCTACAACGCCTCTACAACCAAAACTTTTATTTTCAATTAATAAAAAAATCAGTCGCTCCCACACTCCATATTATAAAGGATGAGTGAGAATTTGTTCTTTTATTTCTTTTGTCTTCTTTGGGGGTAAACGATGATTGGGATGAAAGATTCGGTCACGACCGAATTCAATTTTCGTGCTTATGTGTGTGTGTGTGTGTGTGTGTGTGTGTTTTTTTTTTAAAGGGAACTTCTTGTTAAATGGATGTGTGTACATGAAATTATTGGTTCTTAACTGCTGTGTCTGACGTCCATTTTGATTCGGTCTGTTAGTCATCAACTGAGAGTGTATATGTGGGAGTGGGGGTCAATAGTGAAACGTTTTTTTCTTTTTCTATACTTATGCACTGCTGATACTTGTTGGTCTTCTTTCCAAAAAAAAATACGATGGAAGATGATATCTTTATTCATCAGCGGAATTTGTTATTGTTCATGATGAACTGATGAAGCGATCGTTAACGTACACGTACACATATATATTGCGTTTTCTGTGGTTAAAAGGACATGTTTAAAAGATTAGGTTTAAATTTCTCATAAAAGTATTAAATTAAAGCAGCTTAAAAATCTTGAATAATATAAATTTAGAAGAAAAAATAAAATTAAAAATAAAAATTAGGAATTCTTAAGTGAAATTTGAATACCCACCTTCCTATCTAATTATTTGTTAGTAAAAATTTTAGGGTTTTTTTTTTTTTTTCCTTAAGGGCGATGTTAGTGGTCCGATTGAGACTAATAAAATAAGGAGACTGTTGTCTACTTTTCTACAACAATACAATAACGAATATATTTATGCTCTTGTCCCAAAAAAGAAAAGTTATTTATTTTATACCTTAAAATTTGTGAAGAATAGGACACATTTCAAGAACGACGACTTCGTATTTAGGGTTAAAGAAAATAAAGATTTTTAAAATTACGATTAAAACATTTTTCCGCGTACGCTGAATGAAATAAAATCATGAAGAAGAAGAAGAAGAAGAAAAAGGAGACAAAGACAAGAGAAATTGAATTCGGGCAAGTACGTTAAATAGAATTAAATGGATTTCTTATTAGATTCGATTCAACACAAATCATATTCGAAAGCGCTGCCGCCTAATAATAATTAAAAAAAAAAAAAAATGAAAAGAAGATCCGTCTACTCAAACTTTCCTTTGATTTTTGCGAATTGTTTCAGCTTTAATTCTTATAATCGAGGCGTGCTTGCAAACGGACCGAACGAATCCATCTTGAAATTGGTAAAGATCCGTTCGATTTTAATTAAGAGATCTGTACCAGGTATTAAGCTTTCATGACTTTAGGAATTCTACATGACATATATGCAAAGTAAATAGATCCCGTTAAATTAATTCATGCTATAGACATAAAAGCTATCTAAAAAGATAGATATGTATGTATGTATAGCCGCGAAATTAATATTGTAATCCTATCTCCCGGTGGTGGGTAAAAATATTGGCTTAAAAAAAAAAAAAAAAAAGTATTATTCTAGTAAATCTAGCTTTTTTTTTTTTTTAATATATGTAAAATAACAGTATGGAAAAAAATTACATATTTATTATATAAGTACAAAATTTAAAATTTCTTTTAGTTTTACGGTAATGCTTTTAAAATGAGAAAACTGACTGTTTTTAAAATAATTTTTATTTTCTAAATATTTTTTTAAAATATATTTAAATAATTACTTTGACAGTACAATTTGTGCAACACAAATTTAAAAATATAATTTTTTTTTTTCTATTTAATCATTATTATAAGTTTTTTTAAGGTGTAAACAAAAGACTTGAAAATTTTTTTTCGAAATGCCATTTATTTTTAATTTACATAAGGAAATAATAATTTTTAAGCCCCGGAAGAGGGGAAACATAAATTGTGTATACCTCGTAATATTTGCCAGATTCATAAACCCGCTCATACATGCAAGCACATTCCCAAAAAACACAAGCACACACACACACACACACAGACAGACAGACAAAGGGACAGACAAATAGACCGACAAACAGATATGTAGATAGACAGATCTGATCAGATTTGGCAAGCGATGAAAATCGGCAAAAACAGATGAAAACTCCATTCAAATATTGCCCGCTATATATACAAAAATTAATTCGTTGTAAAAACTGAATATTAAAAAAAATTTTAAAAAAGAAAACAAATGCATAATGAGAAAAAGAAATTATATCTGAAATCCATTCTCCACAACAATTTCTTTATCTCGTCGCAAGTTTCGTTACCTCAAATTCATCCACACGGACAGACAGACATACTTGGAAAGTGTTCCCATCGCTATATATATAAATACGAAAAAATTTTAAAAATAAAAAACAAATATTTAATACAAACGCAAATTGAGCCTAAAATCCTTTTTCTACATTGACGCTTGTGGTAGAGGGTGTAGTAAATTTATGCGGACCTATATGACACGCAGAAGGGCTTAAGACACGCTCACCTCTTATTAGACCAATCGATTCAGAAAATCATTCTAAGCCTGTCTGTCTATGTAAGTTTGTGTCCAAACTACGGGTCACAATTTTTGAGATATTTTGATCAAATTAGGTACACCGCCGTGCTTTCATCCCATCTGAAAATGGTTCGGATCGGCCCACTTTTTCGACTGCTCCTCTTATTATAGCGTCTTATTTTAAAAAGTCGATATATGGAAAGAATTAGTAATCATCAAAATTTCTCGACAAAACTGGCTAAGTAATAGCATTTCGACATTCTAAACTGACGTGAAAACTTTGAATCGGCCGGAGCAATTTTTTGAATTCGCTGTCATATCACCGATCCTATGAAAACTGCATATCTGAGTAACTGCGTTAGGTCAAATGGGTACAGAGTATCTAATAGCCAGCCTTGCCCGACTTGTCTTTCTCAGAACATATAAAAAAGTTGACCTTTTGAAGCTATCTTCATAGTATTAATACATTTCGCTCTTTTATTCTTTTCCGTTTTTTTTTTTGCTTTTCGCTCAGTAGACAGATCGATAAACTCTGACTCTCCCAGTAAGGTATCGGCCACGTTGAGATTAGTTTGTTTTTAACTCTTACTTAAACATTAATCAATAAAACTGGTTTTAGTTGATGATGTCGGTTTGAAAAATTTCCTCTCCAGGCCGATCGATATTTGAAATGTTTGTTGTCAAGCTTTGACTTTTAGTTGGCTTAAGTAGCAAGCTATCACAAATGTCTTAAAATACTTGGCCAGGACAATATCGATTACTATATCCGATGTTTGTAATGATCTAATTAAACGCCAGTTGAAATCAATTAAATCCCCGATATAATAGGCATCAGATCGAAAGATCACTGTCATAATAAATAATAAAAGTTGAAAAGCAAATTCTTGATAACTATTCTTTACGGCGGAATTCTTTTAGGGAAAAATGAAAATATATTCCTAGGAAGGTCATGTTTTAATTTCGTATTAATTCGAAAGTGACTTTTTTTAATCACCCTCTGCATAAATAATTTCTTAATGTGTTGGTGTATAATTCAGTTTTTCCTCGCGATATATTGAAAGCAATTGCGAAGAGAAGAGAAAAAGAGGGAAGTAATTTTTGCTTTAGATTTCGAAAAGACTTGTAAAAAGCTCTCGTAGAGTAATATCCCATTGTTTCTTACTTACTTCGTGTATACGCTCCCCTTTTTTTATACGGTGGATCAATTCCTTAGAAAATCGTGTAAAAAATACATGCGACATATCGTAAATTCGTGCATATGTTCCACAACTTTGAAAAATCGTATAAGATGAAACAATTTCAACTATATTTTCCCAAAAAAGAACCGTGCAAAAAAAAAAGTTCATAAAACAACCCGTATTTATTGTAAAAAACGAAAATTCATTTCATAAACGCAATATATATAAAAGTTTTAATTTGAATTTATGAATAAAAATCAATATCGCGACTATTCATCGAT